TGCCGCAAGGAGAGGCTCTCAGGGCGTGGCCTAGGGGGATCCGGGGAGGTTTGAACCTCAGACGCTCCATTGGCTGAACCTGTAACCCAATGATCAATCAGGATCAGTCAGCTATGGCAACCACATAAGTCTCAAATTCCCCCACATTCAGGCAAGGAGGGCTCTAGGCTCCCTGAGCCTTCCTCCCAGCTCCTTCAGGAAGCCTCCCTGACACTCCAGCCTCCTTTACCTCCATTGCCACCTAAGTCTTACTGCACCATCCAGACCTGATTCTCCTCAAATTCCCCAGATGCCAGCGCGGTAAACCCTAAATTGCCTGTCAGTCCACCCACATCCATGAATGGGTGATTTCTCAGCCTCTACTTGCTTTCTTCCAGAAATAGGGAAGCTCACTCCCTTGAATTCCCATTTCTTTGTGCATTTTATTTATTTTGTTTTGTTTTGCTTTGTTTGGTTGAGATAGGTTCTTACTATGAGGTCCTGCCTGCCCTGGAACTCGTTATGTGGACCAGGCAGGTTCAAACTCACAGAGATCCATCTGCCTCAGCCTCCAAGTGCTGGTGTGTACCACCATGCCTAGCTCTCTTTATTTTAAAAGTTTTCCCCTGCAGTCTCTCTGCCTGGTGGGGTTCAGTCTCAAGCACTTGTTCCCCCAGGCAAGAGATGGCTGGCACACACACCAGGCTGAGCTCCTGAACCTCAAACCTACCCAGCCACCTCCCTTCTGCCATAGGCTCCTACCTGCACCCAGCTGGTGTCCATTCTCCATGGTGCATGAGTTCGAAGTTCGTCTCACCTCAAGATCACCGACTTCATCATGTTCCAGGCTCTGTGGAGTCACCAACACCACCACCTGTCAGTGGGAGCCAGCTTCCCACCCCAAAACCCCATCAATTGCCCACCCTAAAGGCACTTCCCAAATCCCTTCTGGCTCTGGTAGTGAAAACCTCCCTCATTTGGGGAAGAAAGGATTCCCCGGGAGGTACAATGGTGAGCAATGGTTCAGAGAAAAATGATGAACCCACCTAGCTCCAGGAACTCCAAAAACCTGAGAGGCTGGTCTCAGAGCCCAAGAAGGCTGAGGATAAAGGTTGTTCAGAAGCAGTGTGTTAGACAGACAGACAGACAGACAGACAGACAGACAGACAGACAGACACACACACACACACACACATACACACACACACACACCAGACCTCTGCCTGCCACAGTTAGGACTGTCCACATAGAAGAAGCAGATATGGTGAGGTGCAAGGCCTTTGGGGCCAAAGATGGACAAGGAGCCAAGTAACCCCGAGGCTTTTCTACCAGACACAGCAACGCAAGAGTTCCCCAGAGATACGGTGTGTGCAGATCTGGTTGCCTCTACACACCATCCAGCCTCACAGGGCTACATCAGGGCTGGGACATAGAAACAAACACCAAGAGGGGAGTGTCAGGGGAAATCCTGGGATCTTGGCTGAGCTACATGGGCCCTAGCCCATCTCCTCTGGTTCACAGATCAAGAGCAGGGACAGGCTATCTATGTAAGTGGCACTTGGATATCTAACAAACATCAGATCCATTTTACAGATGCTACCCTCAGGGTTCAGAGAGGGTACCCACTGCCTATGGAAGTTATTGGGGGTGGGGAGACAGCCAGAATGTGTAGTCAGAGGAGAATGCCCCCACCTCTTCCCAGAAAAGGTGTGACAGGTTTAGAGTGTCTATGGAGCTGAGGATAGCGAGATCATCCTAGCAAAGGGGGACAGAAGCTGTCCCTAACCTGGAGTTCTGCTAAAATCCCATACTGGGTAGCTTGAGTGGTTGGTTGGCTATGCCTCTCCGATCCTTCCAGGCTATTTCTCTGATCCACAAGTGTCCCAGACAACAGTTTGTCCCTGACTCCAGATAAATCAGGTCCTCCTAAAGCCAGTGTTGGAGGTGCCCACCCATCCAAGTGGGGAACTGGGCGAGCAGGTACACAGACAGACGGTACTGAGTCAGCATGGAATACCCAAGGCAGTCTGTCTCCCAGGGGCCAGGAGGGTTCTCTGAAGCAATGTACCCAAAGTGAGTCCTCAGTGAGCTAGGTACCCAATGACAGAAGCTATCCCCAAGAGAATGACTGGTGGCAACAGAAGCAAAGAAGCAAAAAGACCCCAGTATTGTGACCCCACATAATAGTGTAGCTCAAGCTACTTGTCTGGGGCCGTTGGACTTAAATAAGGAGCCTGCATTGTGATTTAGGAGCATACTTCAGAAGCCAGCAAAGGCAGCAATAAAAAAGACAGATAACAAGTCAACATCATGGTCCCTGAAGGAGAGCTGGGGGGCAAAGGTGTGAGAAGGCCAAGGGCAATGTGCTCTGTGCTTTGGAGAAAAAGGAAACTGGCTGGCAGAGTGAGCAGATGTGAAGGGAGGAAAGACAGCAAACTTCTTCCAAGCTCAAGCTTCGGGCCTGCTTGACAAGAAGGTCTACTGAGGAATACCGGGAGGGGTGGGCCAGGATTTCTATTCTGGGCAAGATGGCATAAGGAGCACCTGGGACATCAGGTAGCATATCTGAGACCAAGTGTAAAACAAAGGAAGGATGGATGATAAGGAAACGACGATGGCCTCCACCAGCTCCCGGGAGCCTTGCAGATAAGCACCTGCATCTCCGGGAGCAGAGAACCTGCCTGCCAGAAGAGAGCACAGCCAAGAGGTGGGAAGAAACGCAGCAGGAGGTTGAGAGAGCCAGGGAAGGAAGCCGTCCAAAGGGAGCCTGAGGTCAAGGAAAAGAAAGTCAAGCTGAGAAAATGTGTTCATTGTGTTTAGCCAAGGAGAGGTCACTGGTGATGGTAGAAACTGAATCAGAGGTATGGAGGGCAGGGAAAGAGACAGGCTGAGAGTCACACTGCCAGACTCTGGGAAAGTGAGGCAACCATCTGTAGGGTGAGGTCTTGGGAAGGCAACAGAGGGCAGAACCCAGAGCCCCGGGTTTTGGACAGGATGAGACCCCTCAATCTCTGACCTAAGATGGGAGAGGCAAGCCCACCCTCAGGATCACAGAATTTGGCATCTCTTGCACTCCAGAACTTGTGGAGAAGGGCGCCTCTAGAAGCCTGGTGCTAAGTCAGCAGTGGGAAGAGAACCAGCCATTCCAGCTGGAAGCCCAGCCTCCAGTCACCAAGGCCAACCAAGCAACAGCTCTGGGGTCTCTTTATCCCCCACCCCGACCCACCCCACTCTTGTCCAACAGGTTCCACAGGTCTAGAGAGGGGCCTCAAAGGACAGACTGGTGGTGAAATCATTTTCCCAGGAATGAAAGTATCTACAAACCCCCCCACCTATACACACCTGTCCCTGCACATTACAGGTCCCCAACCCCCATGGTACCCCAGGGGATTGAACAGAAGTAGCTCCTACATCTCAGTATTGGCCAGATTCCTGCTAAAGGGTCTCTACAAAGAGGAGGGTGAAGTATAGGGCTGAACCAGGACACCCAGGTTCCCCTACTTCTGACTCCTCTAGTCTCAAAGTAAAACCACTTCTGGCCTGGGGAAAGGGCTCTGCTATGCTTCAGACCGAGGAGCTATTCTAATACAACCTCTCTAATCCATCACCACACAGAGGGAACTCAGCCTGGTGTAGTAGAAAGAGGCTCTCAAACTTACACAATGGCTGAGGGCAATGATCAAATTAACATCTGAGACCAGGGGTCCCTTCCCGCCATCCAGGGCTCGGTCCACAAAGCATTCTGGCCTTGCAGAGGATAACTTATGACAAGTGTTATATCCCAGGGGATGAGCCTCACTGGATGCATCCCAGCCAGATGGCAGGAAGAAAAAGGCATAAAGCCTGAGATGAACACCCAGTGGGACTTTCACAGATGGCAGAGCCCTGAAAGGAAAGGACTGAGCCCAGCTGCGCTGGAGCAAGCTCTTCTCCTAAGCCCTTGCCTACTCTGAGGCTGCTAATCTGTTCAGTGGGTAGCCACTGCCTTCCACTGTTTGAGGCAGCCTGACCCAGACATAGCTGGGAGAACCCTCTGTGTGCTTACACCGAGGCAGAAATCACACTAGAGCCCCAGGGCTGGGGATGGGTCCTGTTGAGCTGGCCTCCTACTCCCACAGTCTCAGTTCTGTTTTAGTGAAGGGGAGGTGCCCGGGGAGGGAGCCCAGGCCTGGGAATTCAGCGGGGGAGGCAGGGGATGAGGAAAATGTGGCTTCAGAGACTTAGAGATGGGACCCCTCTTGTTGGAAAGTTTTGACATTTTTTTCGAGGGAAGCAATAGCATTGCAAGACTAATCCACAGGGACACAGGAGCTCACATGTGGGCTCAGCCCAACCCACATAGGGCAGAACCCCTGTCTCGGATGGCTAAAGCTGCTGCCCCAGCCCATCTCCACTCACACCACAGCTTTTGAGGACTCAATCCAAACTTCTCCCCAAAGCATTAAGCCCCTTATCACACTGGCTCTGGGAAAGGCGGGCAGATAAGGTGAGTCTGCTTTCTCTCACCATGGGGCCTCTGACACCCGGCTCTTGGCAGTTATTACCGAGGGACTGTATTGCTTTGACCATGGGGACCCAGAGGCTCCAGCTTAGCTGAGGATGACATCTCTAGGGAACAATTCACTGGCAGCCTCCTGGGGCCTAGGTCTGACCTCAGGCTGCAGCTATCAAACCCAGTCTCCTGGTTCCCTCCTCTGGGATGGACAACAGCAATGGTTCTTCAGAGAGTTTTGTTAACCAGATCCACTAGCCTGTTCACTGCACTGGGCCAATAGGCTGGGCCAATTCCCCTCAGTTTATTATTTTACTTTTAATTATATGTAAGGGAAGGAGGAGGTGCCAGTGCCTGCAAAGGACAGAGCCATTGGATCCCCCTGGAGCTAGAATTACAGGCAATTGTGAGCTGCCTGGTATGGGTACTGGAAACGGAAATCAGGTCCTTTGAAAGAGCAGCATGTACTCTTTGTTTATTCTGTTTTGTTTTTGTTTTTGAGACAGGGTATCTCTGTGTAACAGCCCTGGAAATCCTGGATCTCACGTTATAGACCAGACTGGCCTTGAACTCACAGAGATCCACCTGCCTCTGCCTCCTGAGAGCGGGTACTAAAGGTGTACGCCATCACTGCCCAACTCACACCTTGGTTTAAACATTGGGGAACTGAGGCCCCGTGACAGCAAATGTTTCAAAGTCCCTCCTGTCTTCTCTAAGCAAAGTGCTTGTCTCTCAAACCTCCTGCAGAGTCCTCCCTAGTCATTTCAACAGACTGCCCAGTCCTCTCCCTCTTCCAAGGCTTCCTTAACGGCCTCACAGTCTATTAATCACATGCCCCCATTGCTCCTATAAGAGGGATGGTAGAATATCTGCCTCCACAAGGTCTGGTCACTAACCAAGAGGGGCAGCCACCACTGGCTTGTAGTTACAGGATGAGACCCTCACACCAAGGCCCCTTGACACAGACACGGAATCTGAGAAACCACACAGCCCTCCTTCAGACACCCATCTGGGACTCACAAACACCCATCTGGGACTCTGTCTATCATCCTTGTTTATGACCAAGCTGTACTCTCTACCACCAACTAGCTCAGAGCCTGTGTGGGTGCTCCTGTAAGGATGGACAGCCATAGTACATCTGGGGATCAGACAAAGGGAAGTAGCCTCAGCCCCAAAGAGCTGGTGACCAAGGTCTGTGCAGCCTCTACGGTCATCCTCCACCCACAATGCACAGCTATACTTTCTGCTCACCGCCCCAGGGCCTTTCTCAGGTCCTCAGACTGCTCTGCAACTCCTGGGCCTTTGTCCTCAGTCCCAGCAGGCTGGAGCATCCCTGCAGACCTCAGCTTCTTCCATAAGTCTCTCCAGCACAAGTCTCTGCCTCTGTTTCATGTCCAATAAGCACTTGCCTGCTGACTCCTACTCTGGAACTCCTGCCCCAGACAGTTCACCCACACAGCACAGCCCCAACTCAGACCCATCCTTTCCGCTTGGACCATCACAGTTAAGTTGCCTATAGGGGCTAATTCCCCAGAATTGAGACATTCCCTCTTAGAGGGAAGGGGCTCATAAACCTCCTCTCTGAACATAGGAGGCTTGGAAGCTAAGGAAGTTTCCTGAGGTTATTATATGAACAGTAAACAGCTGATGGAGAGAGGACTCTCTGGTGGAGCTGCCTGCAAGCTGCTGGGAACCTCCGTGGAAGCAACTTTTGGGAGTCATCACCCAAGCTAGCGTGGGTTTTTGATGTCATAGCTGCCTTTGAGTCACCCATGCTCCTGTAAATAACCTCAATAAACTAACTTGTTCACCGCCAGTCTCGGGTGCTCTCTGGAGTGAATAGATGTTGTTCACATCTTCTGGGGAAAAGTCACAGACTCATCTCCATTCACCCTCTAACCCACCATCCATCCCTGAGGGAGGAACCAGGTCCAGAGGACCCCACCCAGCTCCCTGCTCCCCTACTTGATGAATAATGGCAAATCCCCATTTTTTAAAAAAGTCATAGCTGAGCTGGGTGGTGGTGGTGTACACCTTTAGTTCCAACACTTGGGAGGTGAGGCAGGCAGATCTCTGTGAGTTTGAGACCAGCCTGGTCTACAAGAGCTAGTTCCAGGACAGCCTCCAAATCCACAGGGAAACCCTGTCTCAGGAGGGGAGAAATAAGTCATAGCTGGAGAAACACACACAAGTGTTCTTGCACACACACTCATACAGAACTCAGATTATGTTTCTTAACAGCTTGAACAGCTGTCTTTGTAAGTTACAAATGGGTGTTAAAACTTCCGAAGCAAATGATGGCACAGTATAGTAAGCACATGTGAACTCATGGTAGCAGTTTTATACCAGGGACATGTGACTCATATTCATAGGACAGATTTAAATGTTTCCATGTTTCTAGACACTTCATATGGAACACTGGGACACCAGTTCTGCCTCCAGGAAGTCTATCTCCTCTGCCTATCATCAAGGGCTTTCACAACCCATACCTCCCTTATATACCCGAAGGCTCCACTCCAGCTTGTGAGCACTTTTGGCCACTCTGAAGCAGCATGCACAGTGCCCCATTTGCAGCAGGAGAGCAAGACCAGAGCCTCCATCACCAAGCCCTCCTTAAATACCCACTGCAAAAGGACCAGAGTCTAGATCAGGGCATCTCTCTGCTCACACTATTGCCACTGCTCGGTCTGGGGCCATCTCCACCCAGGCTGAGACCTCCAGGGGCAAGGACTTATCTGATCCCCTCCTCCTGCGACCCACAACAGATCTGAGGGCCTGAGAGAATGCACTGAGGCTGGGAGCAGGTACAGGATACTCACACCAAGGCCCTGGAAATCCACCCCCAGAGCACATACCGGGTCAAGATGGAAAATCCCACCTAAGGGCCACTGCACACACCATGGAAACATTCTAACCAGGCTCTGTCACTCCAGGAGGCCATGCCCAAGGTAGTAAGACTGGTCCACACCGGCCTCTGCCCAGTCACTGACCCCAGAAACCTAGACACAGCTAAAGGCCAGTCTCCCCCCCCACCACACCCCCCCGTTCCCAGTAAAGGATCTGCCCCCTGCAATGTGAATTCCCAAACACAGTTGCTGAACAGCCTGGACCAGACTGCACCCACATGCATACCCACACACACCGGCAACTCAATCGAGGTTAATCTACAACCCAAGCGGTCAGGCCTCAGTGAAGCAGCAACACCGGACGCGTGAATAGAACCGGTGTAGGGGGCAGGTAAAGGGGTGCTGACCATTCCAGGCTCAGGCGACAGTGAACCATCAAAGACCGAACCTTGGCGTCCAATTTCTTAAAGTCTTGGGACAGAGGGGTGAGGGCAGAGATCTCAAGGCAAACACCACCTGGCTCCAAAGAAAGAAGCGGGGAAA